CCCTTACTCTCTGGCGCTCAAGAGGTAGAGGAGCCCAATGGCTGGCTCACTGCTGCCAACTAGTGGTCAGAGGCTGAACTACAACATAAAAATGAACGATTGGCAGGAAAGTTGACATTTTAAACCTTAATTAAAAAATCGATACAGGGCTTTAGAAAATCGATACAGTATCGGGAAATGAAATATCGCGATATTTCAGTGTATCGATATTTTCTTACACCACTAGTGAACCCTTCACACACATTACAATGTTTCTAGAGAGAATAAATCAACACAGACCACATGTGTACCTCTCTGTTGTATGAAAACCCTAACCTGTAACTGTGTGTGTTATGGGGTGGGGCTTATGAAAAATATTTCAGTCAAAAGATTTTTTTTTTCACTTTAACCCATGCTAACTGATGGGATTAAAAGGAGAATCTGTAGCTTCATCAGATTATCATCCCGCTRTGTTTTTAGGTGAAGGAGCTGCTGTGGAACATCGACTCCACTGTTTTAGCTGTTTGGTTGGAGGACTTGACTGCAGGGGAGGACGGACGTGTCAGCACCAACAGTAAGTCCCGCAAATCCAGACGTTTACTGGAGCTCTGAGCAGAGCTGCCACAGTTAGTCCTCTGTTAAAATCATCGACTCATTTAATAGTAAATGCCTCGTTTTATGTTTTCTAACTTTGTTTTTCTCTAAACTGCTGCTTCCACTGTACTTGACACACGTGCAGTAGTGGTAATTAGTAGGACTGAACGATTTTGTAAAATAATCTAATTGCGATTTTTTTAATCTATAAATTGCGATTTAATATGTGATTATTTTTTATGTCTTCTCAAGTATTTTCCAACAAACAGAAGCAATGAATCAATCTGTTTTATAATAAACAAAGTCAGATCAGATTACAATAAAGCAAATAAATCTGTAGCTTTTTCACCATTTCTAATTGTTCTTGTTTCATGAAACATGATGTTAAACATGTTAAGTGAACTTCCTAAACACTGTCTGAAATTCACAGGACAATCTGTAAATAAATAGAAAAAATTATAGAAATATAAAAATATAAAGCTTACTGTTTTCCAATAAGTAACATCATGAAAAAAATAAAGTGCAAAAAACACGAAGAGTCTCATTATTTTCTAAGAAAATCAAATTCAAGTCACTAGATTACATCATCACCTAATATGTTTGCCAGTAATTGTGATCTGATCTATAGGAGAGATGTTAAAGAGAAATCAAGTGAAGAAAAACATTAAATATGTTTAAAACTGTAATTA